TCCATCAGGCCCAGGGGACTTTTTATGGTCTATGGTCATAAGTGCTTTCTTATTTGCATCAATAGAAATGGGTTGAACAAATTTCCCGCCTATAAGATAAGTTAAGAGGCTTGAAACCAACTCCCATGGTCTTTATGCCTGGACATCTATAAAGGATCTACAAAGCTTCTTCAGAAAGAAAATATGCTCAATAGCAGGTGTGGGTGGCCCCAGACTCGCCCTAAAAGGCAGTGGACAGAAAAAGAGGCACCCCAAATCACTGAGACATAAGGAGGGAAGATACAAGGAACAACAGAGAAGGGAAGACAAGAGCACCTGGAGCCCGACACCTGAGGGGCCAATCCCTAAAGGTGCCCAGTCCCTGAGGGGCCTGACCCCAGAGGCCACAGTGATGAGGTCCCATGGGGCTTGGCACTGCTTGCGTGCTGCGCAAAGCATTCTGAGATATATCTGCCTCTTCTGATGCCTTTTTTTTCTTCTCATACACTGGTGCCGAAAAAGATAGCTAACTGGACGAGCACATAGGAAGGCCTTACGTAAAACATATCATTAGAATGACTGATGATTAGGAGGACCACTTATTTAGACTATCCATCCGGAAATAAAAGATCGTCCTCTATACCTTTAAATTAACCAAAATCTATCTGAAAAACAGACATTTGAAAGTAAAACTTTAAATAACAGAATCTGTGAAAATGAACCTAAAAAAAAATCTTGGAGACAAAATGGAGAAAACATAAAAGGTACCTCTAAACCTTTTCTTGATTAAAAAGTTTCTCCAGGTTTAATTTCTTATTTTTAATTTAGATTTGTTTACAAGACCTGTTATTTGCTTGCGACATACTTGCTTGCTTAGAAGCTTATTGCTACAGTCTGAACAACCCTGGATTTCTTACACTGCAAAAACGATCTGAAATTAAGTAAAAATTTATTAAATCAAGTATATTTACCCTTAATTTGCAGGAAAATAAGATAGTTTGCCAATGGAATGAGTATTTTTACACTTATAATACGATAATTAGAAAATATTTGCTTAAAATAAGACTAAGCAATAGTTTTTTCTTATTCTAAATGTAAATTGTCTTTTCCCATTGGCAAAGTGTCTCACTTTCCTCCTCAATTCAAGAAAAAAATGCACTTATTTAAAAAAAAAAAATGACTTACCGGTATTTAGATTTACATTTTTTGCTGTGTACCAGGCTTAAAACAACAGGGCACTTTATCTGGTGGGGATATGTTAGGTTTCTGGGTAGTTTGGACTCCTGAGATGGATCAAAATAAACACTAACTGAGTCCAAGCTGATCACAAAAACAGAAGATCCGTCTTTTGATATGACAGGATTTTTATAAAATCCACTTTCTTATTCTTTATTTGGAAATTTTGTGGATTTTTTTCTTATGAATGACCTTTAGGCCAATTTTAAAAATAAAAAGACTCACCTCTCATGGATGAACAGAATCTATTTCTGGTGAAAGGCAACTGTTCTGCTGGGAAAAAAACAACAACAAGAGAATCAACACTTTATAATAGAGTATTATTTTTTCAAACATTATATTTAGATTTTATTTTTTCCAGAACGGTTGAGAAATTAAAGCTGCTGTTTAATGTATAAAAAAGCGGTAGCTGCTCCTGTTCTCGGATAATATGTTAGTAATATGTTTTGAGGATCATTTAAATATTAAAACATTTTGCCAATGGCATTATAAACATAACAACACAGGTAAACTGAAGCTTTGGAAATGTCAAAAAGGACAGGAACATTTGTATTGGGTTAAAAACAGTTTTAAGCTTTATGCTGGTGAAGTCATCCATGTCATTGTCATTCCAGAAAAGTTAAAAAATCAAACCAGTGGATTTTATTTCCAAGTTTGAAGACATTTCTCTTCCATCCAGGAAGCTTTTTCAATTCAAAGTGTCAGAAATAGCGTTGAGTTCCAGGCTTTATCCAGCAGCCCAACAAAGCCTGGTTTTAGTTTAGAAAACATGCAAATTAAAATGGACGAACAGGTCCCCCCGTTTGGAATGGGGGTCGTTTGGCTTCTTTGTTAGCCTGCAATGCCCCATACCTGTCTATGCCTCTGAAAGGGGGGTCGTTTGGCTTCTTTGTTAGCCTGCAATGCCCCATACCTGTCTATGTCTCTGAAAGGGGGGGCATTAGAGGGAATTGTTATCCTGGCTAAATAGGCAAGGTCTTCTGTTCGTTGTAAAGGGGTGGAGGGGAACAGAAGAAGAAAAAGCTTCCTGGATGGGAAGTGAAACGTCTTCAAACTTGGAAACAATGTCCAGTTGATTTTTTTTTTACTTTTTTGGAATGTTTTAAGTTTTCATGTGAAAACCTTGGCAATGTGTTAATATGGAGTCAGCAGACCCTCTTTATTTATAAGACGTTTCCAAAGTTTCATGAAGTTGTTCACACACCTCATGGTTGTTGGCGTCATCCTGTCGGTGCTCTCCTTCTTCCTCCTCCTCCTCG